GGGCTGGGGCTGGGGCTGGAAGCAGCGCTGGCCGCGGTAGGGGGTGCCCTGGGGCTGGGGCTTGGCGGCGTGCACTAGCGAAGCGCCGGAATACAGGTTCTGGCTCGCGAGGGGCGGCCCGCAGTGCAGCTTGGAGGGGTTCAGGGGGGCCGGCTTTTGGCAGGGGGGTTTGCAAGGCTGCTGGACGGACGGAGACAGGCAGGGCGCCCTCTGCTGGCCATCACAATCCTCCCCCGCCGTCTCCTTCGCTGACCGAGCCGCGCCGGGGCCTGGGGAGCAGGCCTGAAAGGAAGACAGATAAGGTGTAAGGAGAGCTGCCAACATGAGCAATCAGTCTGCACCCCTGACCGAGAGCCAGTCGCTCAGCCTGGAAAGCCTCAGTCCTGCTAGTTACAGGCAGCTCAACGCTTCCTTGTCCCAGTCAAAAAAACCACAAGTCCAGTTACTTCAGTGGAAGCCCAGCTTGAATAAAAGCCAGAAGATAACCCATGTGTTTATGTGCAAATGTACTTTGAGTGCATGGGTGAAGCAATGAAAACGCAACGCGCACAAGAAACTGAAGAAGACGGGCGTCCTTGTGTCAATCTGAGCAAAGAAGAAAATTAAGACCAAATAAGAATTATTTCAATAAGGGTGGCGCAGGGGCTAGTACTGCTGAGGTGCTAGTGGTGTGGAGACATGCTGGTGGGCTAATTCTGGGAAACGTGGCCCTGGTACGCTGTCTGTGCCCCCTGCCATAGACTGGCGTCCTGTCCAGAGTCCCGCCTTGCGCCTGTTACTTGCCGGGACCCTGAACCGGATGAAGGGGTTAGAACATAGACAGATGGACAGATGTAATATTTTTATCAAACTACCACTTGTAACCTCAATTTAATTTATTTCATTTTGAACACATCGTGAACAGGGTCCCAAGCCCCTGTTATATGAACACACTACTATTCAGCGCCAGACTGAAAAGGGGTTTTCTGGACTGAGATGGCCCAGATGCGGCGCTGGACCGGTCAGGAGGAGATGCCGGGGAGCGAGCAGTGCTGGAGCTCACCTTGTGTGTGGAGGGGCTCCAGCAGGCCTTGTGTGAGCCAGGACTCGCACACTCCTTCCCGCCAGCTGTGTCGCTGCCGTCGGTCTCCGCTCCGTCTGAAACACACCCCCACGCTGTCAACAGGCATGCACACCGCTGAAAACGTTACTCGACGGCAGCTAATGGGAGCTCACGAGCTATTAAGGTTCTACACACCAACTTTCTCACTGCACACACAATCGTTCACCTGGCTAACCGGCTAACCTGAAGGTGCTTCCCTGT